AAATTTAAGCTTAGATAATATTTTTAATTGAATTTATTTAGTTCCCATTTGCTCACAGGTCCTTAATTTTTTTCTTTAATGGTCATTAAAAGTACTTAATTTCCGTGTGCAGAAATATGTATGAACCCTGTAATCACTATACCATCTGGGTGGAAGTTTACAAAATATGAGGTAGATAATAAAAAAATGTGAAATTCGGGTGTCACAGTGTTTATGTTCCAGTGAAGGATTACGTTATTCAAAATTTCATGTCTTTAGGTATCGTCTTTTCTTCACAATGCAAGAAACATAGATTTGCAGATTCTTCATTATTTAATTTATTTAAGTATAATACAGGGTGATAATATTTGGTGGCAATAATTTGAAGGGAGGGGGAAAAGGTTATGCATGTAAGTAACAAATGAGAGATTGGAATGATTTGCATTCACAGGCTGTGAAGAAGCTTAACAATTTTAAACTTCCCTTTTTATTAAACTGGTTTAGAGTAGATTGAAGGGTGCCCTTTGTATTATCATGAAGTTATTGTTTCATTCATGGTAACTTGAGTAGTTTAATGTTATGGAAATCCTATTATGACCCTATTGTGTGATTGCAGTAAATTTTGAATTATGGGAAACGATTTGTAAGGGTTTGTGCTGTGTGTTGGTTAGGAAGTACATTGCTTGTTTTGTGGTTTAGATGGTAGAATGTGGTAAGATTAATTTGAAGTTTCGGTAAAAGTATAGTTTAGGGTACCCTTGGCGAAACTTGGCGATTTTTGGCAGTACATGGATATTGATTTTGTGCAATTCTTTGACCCGTTATTTTGGCTTGCGAAGCCAAAATAACAAGACAAACAATTGCACAAACTCGGTATCCATGTGCACATCAACTTATTTTCACTTAAAAAAAACCCCCGAATTGCTCAAAAATGGCATTGTGCCGCAAAAATCACCGTTACACAAAGCCAAAATAACAAGACAAACAATTGCACAAACTCGGTATCCATGTACACATCGACTTATTTTCACTTAAAAAAAAACCCCGAATTGCTCAAAAATGGCATTGCACACTCCTTTGACTTTATCCATGTACACGTCGGCCTATTTTCACTTAAAAAAAAATTGCCGAATTGCACAAACTTGCATTGCGCACTCCCTTTACTTTGTCCATGTACACATCGATATATTTTCACTTAAAAAGTCAAAGGAGCACCAAATTCTACAATATAGGCAAACAAAAAATACATAATCTCAATAAAATGCATTTTAAACCAAACAATAAAATAACATAAAAAAGGAAAAACATGTTATACGTTTAAGCACTGCCAAAAGCAAATATTCACTTACCATGATTTTCGAGTTCGCTTCGTACATCCAGAGTCATGTAGAAATCAAAATATCAATCGTACTCAAATGACTTTTTTCAAACCAGGTGCTCTTTCTGATCGAACGCTTCACATAGTGACCATCTGAACCTTTCTTCCTACAAACCCATTCAAATCCATCTAAACGGTTTTTACGTTCGACTAGATGCATATCCTTCTTACATACAGGGCACTTATAATGGCTACTAAGTAAACCTTCATTTACACACCAGTCAATTAAAGCTCTTTTCTCCTTTCCCTCCAAATCGTACAGAAACTTCAAATTAATCTTACTATATTCGGCCATTCTACTGTCTAAAGAATCAAACCAACACACACCACAAAAACGCTTACAAAACATCCCATGATTCAAAATTTCTCAGAATCATGCACCCGATTACGTCACAATAGGGTTTCCATAACATTCAACTACTCAGGCCACCATAAATGAAAGAACAACTTGGCGATAAATCAAACAACAACCCGAAGTTTCTGTACGATTTGGAACGAAAGGATAAAAGAGCATTAATTGAGTGGCGTATAAATGGAAGGTTTACTGAGAAGTCATTATGAGTGTCCTGTTTGTAGGAAGGAAATGGCATGGTCAAATGTTGGAGCATACCGGCGCTATGGAGGATATTTTTTATGCTTATTTTTGTGAATTTATGTGGCATCGCCAACATACAGATTCTAGTTTAGATAATTTTAGGAAGTTTTCGGATTCTGTTAAGGAATTTTGTTTAACTGAAGAAAGGGAAGGTAAATGGATATTTCCTTTGTGTAGTGCTAAGATGACTTTCCCTTTTTATGTTGATTACTTGATTTAAAATGTAGCTTATTGAGATTATAGATTTTTTGTTGTCTGCTCCCTTGACTTTGTAAGTGAATATAAATCAATGTGTACATGGACAAAGTCAAGGGAGTGTACAGTGCCAAATTTGTGAAATTCTCTTATTTTTTTTTTAAGTGAAAATAGGTCGATGTGTACATGGATAATGTCAAGGGAGTGTGCAATGCTCTGATGTTTTTTTAAGTGAAAATACGTCGATGTGTACATGGATACCGAGTTTGTGCAATTCTTTAACTTGTTATTTTGTCTTTCTGTAGTGGCGATTTTTGCACTATTTTTGGTGCAAAAATTGCCACTACACAAAGCCAAAATAACAAGTCAAAAAATTGCACAAACTCGGTATCTATGTACCACCAAAACTCGCCAATGTTCGCCAAGGGGCACCCATATATATATTTTTACCTTAAACTGGTTGTATGCTGTATATCTTAATTGAAAAATGCATATGAAGAATCTTTTTACAATTTTCTTTTATGTGCAGCTGTTCAGAAACCAAGGGTCTATATGTTAGGTAGCCCATTTATCGCCAAGTTATTATTTCATTTATCACCAAATTGTTGTTTCATTTGTGGTAACCTGAGTAGTTGATTGTTATGGAAACCCTATTATGACGTAATTGGTACTGTGATTGGGGGGAATTTGACTGACTGGAAAATATTTATAGTGGCTTTTAAATATTTGTTAACCATTTGATGTCAGTTAGGAAGTACGTTGCTTATTTTGTGCTGTACACCATAAAATGGCTGTATGTGATGAGATTAATCTGAAGTTTCTGTACGATTTAGAACAAAAGGAAAAAAAGCATTAATTGACTGGTGTGTAAATGAAGGTTTACTTAGTAGTCATTATAAGTGTTCTGTTTTTACAAAGAAAATGCTTATGGTTGAATGTAAAGCTCGTTCAGATGGCTTCGAATGGGTATGTCGCAGGAAAGGTTTATGCATGAAATGCCTCCAACGGTCCGGCACTATGGGGGATATTTTTTACTCCTATTTTTGTGAATTTATGTGGTGATGGCAGTATACATATTCTAGTTCATATAATTTTAAAATAATAATGCGAAATCATGTTTTTCCTTTTTTATGCTATTTCATTGCATGATTTAAAATTCAATTTATTGAGCTTTGATGGGCTACAGGTTTTGTTCAATTTTGGTGATGAGTAACTTTGTTTTAACATTATATGACATCATTATTCTCCTGATTTTTTTTTTTTTTTAAGTGAAAATAGATCGATGTGTACATGGGCAAAGTCAGAGGAGTGTGGAATGCCGAGTTTGTGCAATTCTCTGATTTTTTTTTAAGTGAAAATAGATCGATGTGTACATGGACACCAAGTTTGTGCAATTCTTTGACTTGTAATTTGGTTTTATGTAGCGGCCATCTTGAAATTGTGCCTTGCTGACCAGTTGCCAATTTTCACCGACGGGCACCCTGAAATATATTTTTATCAAGGAAGTTGTAAAGTTGGCAGTTTGGGATATCAGAATAATTAATAGTTGGTAAAAAATAGTTACTTTAGCTCACTTTATTTTAGTTGAATTATTCGTGCTTTGAACTTCTTTTTTACACTATTTTGACTATTATTAATAACACTTATCAAAAGAGGACAACATCTTTTCTATCACTTACTGCAGAATGATGCTTGACAGAATCTAAGAGTCAATGGCTAATTTTGGCATTCTAATTTTGAAGAAACTTAGTATATCAATGAACATTTTGCGATGTTAATATCATAAGCCAAGAAACCATAAGCAATAAACAAGTCTTGGCTATAGGAGTTTGATCAAGTTGTTCCTGTCTTGATAAAACAGTATTGGCATTTCCCCTTTAGATTTCACATATTTAATGACAAATTTTTTCCCTTGCATTCAAAAAATAAACAACAGTTTGTATTTTCCAGCAGCTTCATTAACATTTTAAACATTCAGAACATTGGGTGAACATAATTTAATTTTTTCCAAATGGTATTTGTGGTTTGTCAAAAGGCAAAAGAATTCAGCCCATAAATGCTGAGTTATGACCACAGGGCAGCAGTGCCTTTATTTGTTAATAAACTTACTTTCTGTATTCTTATATTTTAACTGTTGAATAGCTATCAGATATGTATTCGAAAAATGTAAACAAATGAAAATTTCAAAGAACCAATTTTCAGTTTCAGGAATGAAGTTTTTATTAAAGTGGCAACTTAAAAAAATAAAAAGGTTTTAGCAGAAATCAGCCATGGAAAATCAAATAAAGCAAAAAATTGAAGAATGTTTCAAAGAGCTGCTAAGGATGTTACCTAAAGAACTAAGGAAATACATTTCCGCTGTTGAAACTGGGCAAAATCATTTAACATTGCTGATTGCTCACACAGCTCATTATAAACATGCTAAATCTTCAAATATTGAAAATACTGAAATCTTTCAGAAGAATCCTGGCATCCAATTAAAGCTTCTGCATAACATCAGCCTTGAAATTGATGATGAAGAAAACATGATTTCAACAGTATTGTAAGTACAGTTATTTGTAGAATATCCAGTTATTATAGTTTCATTTTCATACTTCAATGCCTGTTATTTATATGCCATTATTACATGTAATAAATATCCTTCTCGTGGGACAGTAGAAATTAATGGAGCGTAAAAAGAACAGTTTAAAGAACATAAAGCATACTAATGGAAAATGCATGTACTGCTTAAATCAGCCAAGGTTCTTTAATACATCAAAGGTTAGGTCAAAAACAGAGAAACATTGCCATTAGTTGCTAGTAGTGGTGTCACTCGGGTGACAACCACATCAGTCGATACATCTACTGAATGATTTCAGTAATCGAAAAAATGTAAAGAAAACTCATCATTTTATAAATAGTAGGGAACTACTCTTATATGCGCCCTCAGGTCGCTGGCAAGAAACTCCACGGTGTCATAGTACTATCTAAATTTTTTGTCTGCATTTCAAACATTAAGCTTAAAATGTCTCCAAAAATGTGGTTTTCACACATACAAAAACACGTTTTGAACACACAATTTAAGCTAAAAATCCGAAGCAAAAACGTAAAGTTTCTAACCAAAAATATTTGACAAGAATCCATGTACACATTGATATCTTTTAACTTAACATCTACGAATTGCACAATTTAGGCAGTGAAAGAATCTACGAACTACGCACACCTCGCTTTAATAAATTAACATAACAACAATAAATTTCAAAGAATACCATTAACACCACATTCTGTTTAAACTTTAAAAAAATCTACGAGATGCACAAGGCATTGTGCACAAATCAACAAAATAAACTAAAATAAATTACAAACAATTCAAATAATAACAGAAATTCATAGTAAAAAAACAATGAACATAACATTCTACAAAATAAAAACAATAAAATAAAATGCACTTACCATAATACATACGCGAATAAAATTTCGCCAGTCGTGCAACGTCTGTCAACAAAAGTGCCACAATTTTGCTATATCACATGTCTTTCTGCGATTCAAAATTTTGAAAGTAATGATAAAAACTTCTTCCAAAGATAACTTACTACACGAAAACCACAATCCAAATTTTAACTACGCTGACAGCCGCATACTTTAACAGCAACCATTTGACTGCAAACCCACGCAAGTCTATCAGAAACACCATTCTTCATCCGATTTCTCATATCAGCTCAGCGTTTTGAACATGCCAAACTCTGTTTTAAAAGTCCTGACTCCCACAGAAATTCCAAAAATGCACTTCTATCTCCATAAACACACCCGTGAACAAAAGACTCGTTAAACCTTTAAATACTAAATTTACTTTTCACACAATCTAAAATACGTGACTGAAATCTTGCCACCACGTCTCTAAGTTTCAACGTCAAAAGGGTTGCCATACAAACAGCATCGTCCACCAAACCATCCCACAGCACGGAATCGCGCCAAAAACCACTGCAGAACATATATCGCCACATTTGGTGATCTTAGGGCGCATATAAAAGTAGAGCCAATAGTAGATATAATAACATATTTGAGTACTTTTCCGTTTTGCCAGCGCAAGCGATAAAGTCGCCAATTGATGCCAAACAGAATATCCTCACTGGTTACCTTTTACACCTCATTTTCAAAACAATTTGCAGCCATTTCTTATCAAATTGATTGTTTCTTTCAAAACTGGCATACAGTTACATAGAATTTTTACCCAGATAGTTCAATTTTATGCCCTAAGGCCATTCGTGGTAGTTAAGTTAATTAAGATACAATCACACTGCTCACCTGAATGCGAAAATATAGAAAAGGCACAGTCAAGAGTTAAATTCATCAATCTAATAAGAATGCACTAGCGAAGTAAAGCACTGCGATCTTACATAATTTCTGAATAAGTTATTTGTACAAATTGAAATAATTCTTGCATTTACGCTAGTATTCTGAATTAAGATTTAACTTGAAATTAATGTAAATAATAACTGAGAGAATTAGATTTTTGTAGCGTAGCTTACGTGAGATGAGATCACTTGGGGTCACGTGACATGAACCGCCGAATCAGGATGTTGATCATGAAAGCATAGTACATTCTTAAATTAATGTCTTTTTACAAATTTGTTGTCTTTATTTATTGGCTTTTACAAAATTTTAAACGATATTAAAATGTTTATGCCTTTAAAATAAATAATAAAAAAAAAAAAAAAATCCTTAGAACTAACATTTGTTAACATTTTTTATGTGTATATTGCTGCCAATAAACTCTGCTTGGCGAGATTTGCGCCAGTGAAATGAAAAAGTACCCATATTTGAAATACCAGGTACAGTAAAAAAGTCTTTAATCCGGACTCGTCGGGACATCGGCGATTCCAGATTATCGATTTTTCCGTATTATAGATCATCAGTTTAAATCTGGTAAGATGGCAGGCAGAAATTATAAAATTAAAAATATGAAACCGTAATTTATGAAATAAAGAGCAATTATGATCTAAAGGGTATCAAAATTTACAAAAAAAATCTTAATATTTATTTGTTTACTTTATTAAACATTTCTTTCAACGCGCGCATGCGTCGAGCATACATTACGCATAGTCGAAATTAGAAAATTGCAACCAGAGAACTATTTCATTTGTATTCGTGATATTTATAATGACGAGGAATTTGATTTAAATCATATCAAAGACAGAGTACATCAAGAATGCTACATTTAGTAAGGAATTATAAGCCGAATAAAATAAAAATATCTGCCCTGAAGATAAGGATAGTACTGACAGATCAACTTCCAGTTCATAGCGCGCCGCGACGTTCCCCTCCCCCGCAGAGGAGCGTGAAATTGATAAACAGATTTCGGAATGGTTAGAGAAACAAAGGATATGCCCTTATCCATACTTTGCAGCAATACCACTTTTTTGTTTGATGGACATTGATTTGTTTTTTGTTTGATGGACATGATACTTTCGCTGTTTGATGGACATGATACTTTCGCTTTGTAGATCCTTTGGCAGCTCCAGCATCGGAAATTCTATTTGACATAATCGAAAGTTCAAGCTTACTTTTATAAAATTGCTCCAACAGTCTGCAAAAAATAATAAGCCAGATCCAATTCAAAGATTAAGGAACAATGCAATCTGCAACATTAACTGAAATAGATAATTAGATAATTTTAGCTTTGCTTGTACCGTCCGTTATACATTAAACGTGCATGCGTAAAGGTATTACGTGCATGCGCATAATGTGTTGACGCATGCGCAGAAAGTTTGTAGCTTTGAGGTCCGGATTATAGATCATTCTGGATTATGGATGTCCGGCTTAACGACTTTTGACTGTATATACTTTTCAATTAAAATTTTATTACCACTAATATTTATTGTAAACCCAGAATACGTATTTAATGCTAAAATAATTGTAAACATTACCTCTTTTTCTTACAGGAAAGCATTAGAATATGAATAAAGATATTTCAGTTTATTAAGGAAACAAATTATTGTAAAACAAGGTATTTTTCGATATTCATACGTTATATAGTCTGCACTTGATTTAAATAAGCCTTGTTGAATATAATGCATGAAAGCAGAATTGCAGAAACTATGGTAATAACATAATAAAAATGAATTTGACATTTCCTGAGAAAATACATGATTGTGATTTTCAGTTTAATTTACAGAACTTTAACAAAAAATATATCAAAGGATTTGAATCATCAAATTTATATTTAATAAATATAAAATTCTACAAATTCCTTAATGACATGTCACTATGCATTTTAATCGATTATCACATTATTTTTAAAGTACTTATATTATGCATTTCAAATTTCAGCTGAAGTGCTTATATTTTCAGTATTATCTAAAAGCACTCTTATAATTCCTTATCATCCTGGGATTTGTGTATAACATTTATCCTAGAATGATTATTTATTTACTACAATAAAAAGTCTTCAATATTTACACCCTATTTTTCCCTATGTATATTAAAAATGGGTGACCGAAAAAATGCCCACAGGAATAATGCTCACAGGTTTAAATGCCCACACAGAAAAAAGCTCACATAGATATATGCTCACATGGAAGTAAGCCCACTGATAAATAAAATACGTAGAAATATCCTTACATTAATCAATCAATATTTAAGTGATTTGAACATTGTACACCTACTTGAATTCTTCAAAGAAAAATTATTTAAATTAGGAAAATATCTATGGTGTGTATGTATATATATATATCAAAAATTGTATAACTTATGTATAGATTCAGTTGCTATATATGATTAAAAAATGGACTGTTTTGAATTAGGAAAAGGAGAGGAGGAAGGAAGAAAAATGAAACAGAACATACAGTGAAAACTTATTACAATTTTAATTGTTAAAAAAATAAAATACCGTATATACTCGCATATAAGTCGACCCCCCCCCCCACTTCGACATAAAAAATTCGTAGAAAATAAGAAACCCGCGTATAAGTCGACCCCCCTCCCCACTTTTGAAATCGATCGAGAAACTTCGAAAAAAAAATTTTATGTACTACTTTATTCAAAATCATCTGAGAAAAAAAAAAGTAAATATACGATAAAAAAACCTTGGTAAATAAACAAAATCAAATCTTCAACGTCTGATTCATGGTCAGATTCGTCAAAAACATTTCATAGAACTCTTTTGTCATCATTGGCTCGTCATCATACATATTTTCAGTCTCGAACTCTGGATCGTTACAATCACTACTAGAGCCTTCGTCATCATTTTCACTTTCAAAAGCAGCATTATCATCTGTGCCGTTTAGTTCGTTGCTAATACAACATTTTTTAAATGATTTTATCATTTCAGAGGATATTTCATTTCAAGCATCTTTAACCCACTGAGCAATTAATGTAATATTCGGCTTTTTAATGTTGCCTGCCTTTGTAAATGTTGGTCGACGGAAGTAATCCACTCTGCCCAATATTTATTACATTTACTTTGAAGGGCTTATTGAGGCAGACATCTAGGGGTTATCGAAACTTACTTAGTTAAAGTATGAAACTCTATGATTGTTCGTCACATAATTTAAGTCATGAAATTGCTTCAAGTAAGTGACTTATTGATAAGTCGTCCAATTTGAGTGCGGGAAGAAAACAACTGCATTATATAAAGAAATTTTTGACTTCCGATTCTTAATTTTTTATGGCCCCATGTATAAGTCGACCCCCCACTTTGAAGTCTTTTTTTTTGTCCAAAATATCTCGACTTATACACGGGTATATACGGTAATAGTAAATTTAAGTTACACATTTTATAATATAAACATTTAGAAGAAAAGCAAATATAAATAATATTTTATTTAAATTGCATAAAATACCTTATTACATAAAATCATAAATATATATTTCAAAAAGTTATAAATAATAAATTATTGAATATAGCTAATACAGTACAAAGTCGTAATCCGGATTGTTGGGACTTCGGATTCCGGATTAGGGGTTTTTCCGGATTATAGGTCATCAATTTAAATCTGGTAAGATGGCATGCAGAAATTATACAATTAAAAATATGAAATTGTAATTTATGAAATAAAGAACTATTATGATCTAAAGGGTATCAAAATTTCCAAAAAAAAAAGCTTAATATTTATTTGTTTACTTTATTAAACATTTCTTTCAATGTAAGTTGTTTAAGATGCTTCCACAAAAAATTCAAAAATTTCCTTTTTTTGTGTGTCATATATAGTGGGCTTTCCAATGTCATATTTCTCACATAATTTTGAGATGGATAGGCCTTTATCCATTTTTTGCAGCAATTCCACTTTTTGGTTAATGGACATCAGATCATGCTTTCGCTTTGGCAGCTCCAGAATTGGAAACTCTTTTTGACATAATCGAAAGTTCAAGCTTAATTTTTCTGAAATTGTTATAACAGAAAAATTTTATAAATATTAAGCTGGATGCAAAAATAATAAGGCAGATCCAATTAGAAGATTAAGGAACAGTGCAATCTGCAACATTAACTGAAATGCCTTAGATAATATTAGCCTAGCGTATACCATCCGTTATACATTAAACGCGCATGTGTAAACACATTATGCATTTAAGCATGCACATAAAGTTTGTAGCTTTGAGGTCCGGATTACAGACTTTGTACTGTATGTGTAAATATACAATTTCATCATAGTTTCTTACATGATTCGCAATTACTAAATGTAAGTTTTCATGTTTTCTTTTTTTTTAACTTCAGTACACCCTGCATTTACTAATAATAAACGTTGGCAGGCTAAATCTTTTTTCAGTCCGTCAAAGAAAAAGCACATACTGGGATGGCTACAATTAAATAATGAATTCAGTACCTTATGAAAGCTTTCTTAACGATTTATGGTTTTAGTTGATTTTCTGAGGCTGCTTCATCATGATTCTACACTTTGATTGGAAACTGTAGTCTTCTAGAACTTTTTTGGTTCCAAACTTAAATAATTACTTTCAAACATCAATTCTTGTAGATATACATCAAAAGTATGAAAAAATAGAGTAAAACTAAAATTAACTATTGGCAGTTACAAGAATAAAAATGTTGTACAGGGGCAGTGGTATAAAATATTATAGTACATGCAAAAATTTTACTATAGTTTTCATTCTTTTATATATCCGCCTCTGAAAAGGTTAATGTGAGCATATTTTTCCAATAATTTTTTTAAATGATTAAACAATTTTTCTTTTAAAAATTAAGTAGGTGTATGATTGTTCCAGATCGATTAATTATTGACTTGATTAATGTAAGGATATCTCTACGTATTTTATTTATCAATGGTCTTATTTCCCTGTGAGCATATATCCATGTGAGCTTTTTTCCGCGTGATTATATTTCTAAGTGAGCATTTTTCCATGTGAGCTTTTTCCTGTATGAGTATATTTCTGCGTGGCTTTTTTCCTGTGAGCATTTATACCTTTGAGCATTATTCCTGTGGGCATTTTTCCTAGAACCATTAAAAATAGAACTCTTACAATAGATTTGTTTTTACATACACACAATAATAATAATAAGCTGGTTCTAATTCTTAATTTAATTCAACCTGCATATAAATTAATTTTTTTTATTTACTACTGTGTTTCTTGCAGATTGTTTGTTGAAATATTTTTGTTATGCTCAAAATAATATTCAGTGTTTAAATATTTTTCTTTCTGTTATAATTAAAAACAAATTATGGGGAATAAAAATTAAAACAATATGTGACAGTTAAGTAGCACTGAAGAGAATATATCACTTACTGTTTCCTTGTTCTTGTTTTAGCATAGTAAATTCTAGTAAAATTACACATTACTGTATCCATTCGATCACAGTTATGTATAAAAATTATATATAAATTCATTTAAAATATAGTCAGTTATTTTAGTTTGTTTTAATTGTCAGGAACAACATTTCATGTCATAAGGAGACACACTTTTAATACACAAAAAGCAATTTTAATATTTTTTTACCTAATCATCTTGCATTTAGCCATTTTATGTAGTATTAATTAAATTGTTCTCTTTTTTTTTTTTTTTTTTTTTTTTTTTTTTTAGGGATCACTTCAAAAAATGTATTGGACTATTAAGAACCAATGTGATAAAATTTTGAATTTATATCAAAGTAATCTGTATATAAATTTAAGCATTGAAGATGTAACTTCTGGAAGTGAATCTTCATATTGCATTGCCAAAAAAGTCGAAGCCGTAGAACAGTTCAAGAGATTATTTAGTAAGATGTATCCTTTAACGAATGTTTCTATAAGCTTTGGAGAAATGAATAAAATAAAAATTAGCTTGCTCTTTTTTTTTTTTTTTTTTTTTCTTTTTCTTTTTTAAATAGTAGTACTCTTACATGCATGAATAATGTGTTTCAGGACTTATGGTGGTTACATGAAACTATGATTAATCCACAGTGCTTTAAAAACACAAGACTTATGCACCATACAAAAATGTGCATTTAATTGTTCACAATAGTGTATCATCAACATTAAATAATAAATACTGAAATGACATTTTTTAAATATAAAAGCATACTACATGCTGCAATATATATATAAAATATTGTCTTTTTCTCGTATGTATTCTAATTTAATGGATTGTAGCATTTTAACCTAACCCTCAAGGGATGAAAAAATGTTTTATTTGTGTCATGTAATGTCATATACATTTTCAAGGATATTTGATTAATAAGAATCATGTTTTTCATCAATGTACATATAAACAACCACAAAACATCGTTCTGAATTATTTCATGCAAATTTGTGCTTGTTGGCATTGATATGGGATGAAGCTAGTTTTTTTGGTGGGCACATTTGTTAACATCTGTATTTTATTTTAGTATTATGACTTAGTGTGCATTTTATAACTGATAAATTATTTATTACTTGATTCAATATTCTTTTGGATGTTTAACCATGGAAACAGTTTGCAATTATATTTTTACTTCCTTGTACAAAGTAAAAAGGAAATATTGTAATCTTGAAAATTTTCAAGTATCATATTTCAACAAAAATATCCATTTTGACCTTTATCGAATGTAATTTAACAATGTTTTTGCGTGACATCTGTACGTAAGGACAGAATAAAAGACTTTTTCCACCCAAAAAAATTATAAAACTGATTTAAAATGAATTCTAAAGAGAATTTTCTGTGGCGTCTGTACATACGTACGTATCTTGCATAACTCAAAAATGAGTAGCCTCAGAACATTGAAATTTTGTATATAAGACTGCTATAACATGTAGATGTGCACTTCTTAGTTTGGTTGCAATCGGCCGCACCAAACGTATATAAATATATGTGTGTATATATATATTTACATATCCACTCTCTTAACTGGCTCAGTGTTCTCAGTTTCTTTACTCTTATATGTTTATAAGTTGGGCATTTTTTGCTTTAAAAAGGATTGAATTATGTTGTTCTTATCTTCCGGTTAAGGGTTTTATGCCTTTAGTAAATCTGTATGCAATATTTTTAGAATTATCAACAATTTTAAAGTTGTTTAAGTGTAGCTAAGCCTAATGAATTTTGCGATGGTGGACATGTTTATTTACATTTTAAACTTGTCAAAATAGCGGATTTGTTGCCAATCTAGAGAAACTAAGCTTTGCAACAGCAAAGATAACGCCTTCTTTTATTACTGCGAATTAAATCATGTTTAATCCATTCAGGAATTTATTCGAGGAAATAAGTGTTTAAGATTTACTTCGTAATTTTTAATATAGATATTTTGAGTTTTTATGTATTTTTGCCTTGTCGGGAAATGAGAACTGAATTATTTGAATGAGAAATACTGAATCATCAATGAAAAACGGTTTCTTTTTTGTTTTGTTTGCTTAATTTCTTTTATACATCGTTTTAGATTTATTATAGTATTTGAATAGAATATGTGGCAATGATTAGATAATTCTTTAAATAATATAAATTTATCTGCATTCTGAATTATAATATGGACGAAATGTAACGATGTTAAGTGAACCTAGCGCCAAAGTGTCACTATGGTAAACAAATACAGTGAATTTTAAAGAGTGCATTTATTCTATTGTGGTTTATGCATTATTGACGGAGTAGATTTAATTCAATCCAATAAATTTTAATGAAATGCAGGAAAATATACATATATATGTTTAATTTAATGTTGCGTACAAGGAAGTCATGTGGTGGACACATCAGATTTTTTATTTGAAGGTAATTGGGTAAAAGGTAAATGATAAATGTTCTGTCCATTATATATAATTAAAGCAATATTTTATTTTCATTATCTTTTCTCTTTTATAAAAATTCAGCTTTGGTGGTTGTATTTAGTAGTCGTATTCTATTATTTTTAGTAATGTGGAATCACTTTTAATAGAATGCATTTATTGGTATCACCCACTGCATAAAATAGTGTTAACATAATTAAACTTTAAGTGTAATTTTTATGATCTTTTTCAAGGTTGAAAGTCTTTTTAACGTGCTCTTTGTGAGGACTCTAAACATTTTGATGAATTTAGGATTAAAATTATACTTCCTAATTTGGTGAAATTTAGGCAACTTTATTTTAATTGGTGTTATGTAGCAAGTATAAAAATCTGTCTTCAGAAATAATCGGTATAACCTTAATTAGAATCCTTCCTTTAACACACTATTTTTTTGTTATTGTTGCTTTGAGAAAGTCAGTTACCAAACAACTTATCTTCAATTCTGTACTATACATGTAGCATCAGAGAGAATTTTAAATAATTATTTTTGCAATAGCTAGTAATGTTTAATAAGTAAATTTTCAATTGTGCAATTTTTGTCATTTAATATCTTAAGTCATGTATTCTTTCTTATGTTATTAACAATAACATGATTTTATTCAAAAACATCTTGTCTTTATGAGCTTCATATCATATATATACTTTTAACAGTAATCATGATAGCTATGGTAACTACCTTTAATGAAAATCAGCTTTTAATTGTATCCAAAATAAATAGTCATGCTATCTGAAGTACTTCTAGTAATCCAGCATTTATGTAAGTTTTTTTTTTTTTTTTTTTTTTTTTTCACGATTAAAATCAGTGCTATCTTTTATACCACATATAGAAGTTTAAAATTTTTATTTCAAACATTCAGTATCATTTGGCAATTTTTTCATTGTTGCTTATTGTTATTTTTTTTAGTGATAATTTATTTTGCTGTTACAAAACTTATATTTGTAAATATTGCATCAAATGTTGTGTGGTTTCTTAGTTGTAATCTCCTCCCCCGATTTTTTTAAAATAAAATTTCATTTGTATTAAGTTGAATGCATTTTTGTTTTGTACTATCATAATTTGTAATTTGTTTATTATTTTCATTCCCTTAATAAGAATATAGACATTTAGCACGAAAATATACTCTTAATTACCATCATAGTGGCGGTAATTTAGAAAAGATACAGGATTTGTGGGATGTATCTAACCTTATACTAGCTCAACAAGGTAAGCTTTTCCTCCCTTCCTTTTCACTCCTTAATTTTTTGTCCAATTTTTCATAAGTTATCACTTATGAAAAAAATTGATGTTTGTTATGTATTCTTGTTTTGAAGTAGTTTTACTGTTTTCTTTTTAATCTATTTAAACATATTATATAATTATGAAAATTTAGTTATTTGGCTATACACAAAAATTTAGAAATTTGATTACTGTATATGACACAAGTTGAAATCATACAGTGCCTTATTAATTCCTTAAAAATTTTTGCCCAAGTAAATATTGCAATTTGGTTTTAACAAGCAGTTTGCAGACGAAAAGATATATTATGATTAACCAGCTCAAACTAGCTGAAACTTACAAACACCACAGAACTGTTTTGCAATAAAATGCAGAAATGTTGTATATTTTGAAGATTTGATGCCACTTTTTTATCAATGCAGAATTTTAAGGAAATATGGGCCCTTTCTATTGCAGACTAAGAAAAGGGTTCATTTTTATTATCAATGTTTACATTTTAGCCAAAACCAGTAGCGGGAACATTTTTTTTTTTTTTTTTTTCCAATTTTTGCATGAACAAGCAATATTGCAACTGCAGTGAGTTGTATGGAATGTTTCAAGTTGGTGATTCTGAAGTGGAAGAATTTTCCTTGAAAACAGAGCCATCTGAAAGATCTTCTGTGAATATCACGTCCAAAAATGTGAAATGTATTCAGAACTGTTACATCTGGAACACTGGAGAATGATCAACAACATTGCATATGTTATGTTGTTTGGACTAACCCTAATGTCTTGGGACATATTGCAGGTGCATTGAATTCTCCTTGACAACAGTATGTCCTGTCATTGGGCACTACTCGTTTTGTGAGTTTCTCATTAGCCATAATATGTTATCGCTTCTGCATTTGTTCTGCTCACCGGATGTGACTCCTGCCAACTTCTTCATTTTCCCAGATGTGAAGATGCCACTTAAAGATCAACCTTTTTACTCTGTTATCAAAATCCAGTGCAAATTACAAAAGGTTATGGACTAAGTAATGCAAAATGACTATGAGGTTGCATTCTAGTGGGAGGAACTCTTTTATATGTGCATTCCTCTGCAGTGTGGCTATTGTGATAGAGATGATGGTTGTACATAAGAAAGTGGTGTAGTTTTTTGCCAATAGAACTAGTCTGGTAGCATTTTGATCCACCGATGTGTGCAGTCACTTAAGTTACAAACTTTGAATTCTGGCTGGAATGAAATAACTCTGTTTACATGTGTTGGTGTCAGGATTTCTCTCTTACGTTTATATACACTATGTGTATCGTTTTGTTTTTATGTTATTTATCAGGACAGAAATTCACAACATCATCATCAAAATACTTTTAAGTTCTAGAAGAAGTAAAAAGTTCTAAAAAAAATCTTAATGAAGGTTTTCCAGTAAAGTTCTTTGTAGGTTCAGGTCAAAAAAATAAAAGTTCACATTACCTGTCGCTTCACGAGTTAATATCCGAGTTACCTGGTTTCTCTTCATCCAACTCATCTAGGTTATTAGCATGCCATGACTTCAGCTGACTTACTTGGACTGTTGTTGTATACAGTCTATCACGCTCTTTCTTCCCCCCCTTCCTATAGTAGTACTTCTTCATATTATTTGCCATCCACTCTTTTACTTCTTTCAGCATTAATGAGGTAAAAATTTTAAGTACTCTTTCTTTACTCTCAGCTTGAGTAATTTGACTTCTCCTTGGCATTTGATATTCTATTTCTTGGTGCTTGGTTTCCGAATAAGATGGCATTTACAGGGACTTATCTTCACTCATCATTTGGGCTGAATACACAAATTCTTCTGGCTGCCTAATTCTTTCACTTGCAAATTCCTCAGATTTCCTTTCTGGTAATTTTCTTCCATCCATAGAGTTTAAACCTGCTTTATCCGAAGACCTTTTTCGTGTTCTTCTTTCATATCTGAATAATTTTTGTGCATCCCATATAAATGGTAGCCTCTCCTTGTTACAAAATTTCTCTCAGGAATATAAGACGCATCACTTTCAACTTGGTCATTTTGGTTTGAAAATCGCTTTTGCTTTATAGTTGGTATTTTTTTATACAAGGGTTTTGAACAATCAGCTTTGCTTCTAACATGAAAATGATCATCATATTTCACATTCCAATTGTATGTCTTATCACCATTGCAGAGGTGTAAATCTTTGTTTTTGTTACATTTGCTTCGAACATAATTTTGGTTAGCGTAATCAACTTCATAGTTTGTCGCAGGATAGAATACTTGTTTTTCAGTTTTTAACTTAATAAAATTTGCACTGTTATTTATTATTTTCTTTGTTTCATCCGCTTGTAATTTAACACACAAATTTTCTTCAGTGTAATCCAACCTAGTAAATAGATAATCTTTTGCATATCCGATATGCAAGGCATCACTGACTTTAGCGAATGCAATATGTGGCAAATCTAAGAACGTTCGTCCAACGAATAAGTCCACTAGCTGAGCCGAAACTGGCACAGTTAATACTGAAATATCTTTTGCCATTTGTGGATTTAAAAATACGTCGTCAATTTTTAAATCCACAAATGCCGCCACCAACACTTTTCTATAGGACAGTTTTGATTTCCGAAACCAAAGAGTTCCTTTCTTCAAGATGAAATGTTTATTCCCAAGCCTTTTGCAGCCGATTCTTTAATGAGACATGACGACGCTCAAGTGTCAATCATTGAAGATGCAGTATGAGAATTGTTAATTAAAGCATTCCTCAAGTACATATAAGCTGATACGGAGTCATCAAGACCGTGCACGTTTAATGTAGCTTCTTTTTTTATTCTTAGGGCAATATTTTCTTGAATGGTCTTTTAATCCACAAATTTTGCAGGGATAGGGACAATCTTTTAAAATATGACCAAAGAGATTACATGAAAAACATTTAGGATCACCCTGAGCATTGCGATTAGAAGAATTAAATAGTTTTTGTTTTTCATTATACGAGGGCTATCCAGAAAGTAGATTACGTTTTGGAATAAAAAAATAAACAAAGTATAGGAAACAAATTTTATTATATACAGATGAAAGCCACACTCAAATACTACTTTTCTACATAGTCACCATACAAATTAAGGCATTTATCGTAGCGATGTACGAGCTTGGAAATTCCTTCGTCGAAAAATTCGGCCGCCTGCGCCTTCAGATTTTTGGAATCCATCTTGCACAAAACTTGTGGTAACCAAGCTTTTCGCTGATGATTTCGTGCAACAAACTTCGCGAAATTTGTGGAAAACTCAAGGAAAGTTCCGTTATTCTGAAATTTCGATTTTCACGGACTTTAGCATCGACTTTTTCGAGAAGTTCGGCGGTCACTATGCTGGGTCTCCCACTTCGATCTTCGTCGTGAACATTGGTTCGGCCATTTTGAAATCTTATGACCCACTGACGCACTCCACCTTCAGTGATAATGTTGTCCCCATACACTTCACGAAGCTGCCGATAGATTTCTATCGGTTTACAGTTTTTTGCAGTCAGAAACCTTATTACTGAACGCACCTCGCAGCTCGCGGGATTTTCAATTAACGCAGACATTTCAAACTGTCACAGTATCTGAACGGAGCACAGCACGAACCTCTCACTAGCACGGCTAGATGCAGACTGAGCTGCGCAACGCTCTGACCCCAAGATGACCGCGCTAGCCCCACCCCTAGCGGACACAGACGGAAACGTAATCTACTTCCTGGATGGCCCTCGTATTTATGTGTAGGCGAACAATCTTTTCCGCAATATTTATAGTTTCTCACCATGTCTCTGTTTTGGAATCTATTACTAACATTCACTACTCTCGGTGTGTTTTAGAATGATCCCAGGGCCATAACTTAGAACTGCTTTTACTTTCATTGTTTATTTTTAGTCCTGATCGAACGTTTTCATAGTTGTCTAATTTTCCAGCTGGTTCATTTGCGTTTACATATTTAGACGATGAATCAATAAAATGTTCCCTCATAGAATCTGGAACCCGTCTTTTCAATTGATCTGTTATAATTAATTCTTTTAAAGAATTGAAATCATTTATTTTTAATCCTGCTAACCATTCGTTAAAATAGTTACGAATTTCGAAAACGAAATCTGTCCATGTGTTTTTTGAATCCCTAATATGATTAACAAATTTATGGCAAAATTCTTTTGGACTTCACTTAAAATGTTTTAATAATAGATTCTTAACAATATTTACTCATTAGCTTGTTCTGCAGATTCTCTGGTGATCAGTTGTGGATCTCTAGAGGTAAAAGCCCTAATAAATGAAAAACATAATCTTCTTCATTTAACCCCACCCATTTTCTTGATGTTTAAATATCAGTAGGAATGAAGATATGTCTCCATCCTTTGAATCGAATTTTTGCATAAGACTTTTCAAATTGATAAATTTTTTTGTTTTCTCGTGTGGTTTCATCACTTTTTGTTGACGTTTCAGACATTAATTTATATTCATGTAAAAGTTTTAGTTTTTGTAATTCAATATTCCTTTGTTTTTCCCGATCTTCAGCTTTTAACTGAATTCGTTTTTCGTGTTCTTGAAACTCTAATAGTCTTTGATTTTCCCGTTCTTCAGCTTCTAACTGAATTCGTTTTTCGAGTTCTTGAAGCTCTAATAGTCTTCGTTTATCTCATTCTTCAATTTCTAACACTCTTTGTTTTTCTTGTTCTTGAATTTCTAATTGTGCTTGTTTTTCATCTTCATCTTTCTTAAGTCTTTCCTTGATAATCCTTTCAAAGACTTGTTTTACAAATAGTTTGTCATAATTTTTACTATTAGTGATGATGTTCTTAATCGTAATCACAATGGCTTCTTGGGGAACCATTTCCCCAATTTCCATCGCAAGTTCAGTTAGATCACTTTTGCATCCCTTGCCAAGAAAAGACATCTGTAAGCTACCTTTCTATATACGTTTTAATTGTTTAATACTTATTATTGATACATTTAGTAGCTTTCGAAGATATGTTTAAAAGCTTTCATGCATACGTTTAATGGTTACATTGATACGCTTAATAACTTTAGAAAAGTTAAAAACAAAACCTTTTTCGTTTTTGCATTAAACCTTCAATAGCGTTCAATCACAATAGATTGACATTGACAATCCTGCTTCTGAAATTGTTGGCATCAGGCTTTCTCTCTTACATTTATATACACTATGTGTATCGTTTTGTTTTTACGTTATTTATCAGGACAGAAATTCACATCATCATCAAAATACTTTATTCTACTAATATTTAAAAAAAAAGTTGCATGAGTAATTAATATCGTCTGTTGCCATGGTTACATTCTTTATCTCTCATTTTTATTACAACAAATGCTTTGAATATCTTTTAATATCAGGACACCATCTGACGGTAGACTGTGGAAATTGCTAACAAATGCCATCATAAGTGTTTTGCTATAACACTATATGATTTCTTATGGAGGAAAATGTTAAGGATCATGTTTACATATTCCCATTTTTACCAAAATTAGTATACTTTAGGAAGTGCTTTAGGCCTGGTATCCTAAAGCCTAAAGCACTAGGTTAATAGTAGTTGACTTCTGTCCATAGAAAAGATATAGACTGTACTCATTTACGGCCTAGATATGTTTTGTGTGGCCAACATGGCACATGTAAAACATCTTCAGTATGCTATGATTAGCTTCAGTATGCTAATCATTGTATATGTAACATAAAAAAAAATGTTTTAAAATATAATTAATTACTTACAGTAAGTATTCTTGTGTACACGTTTTATTTATTTATTAATTATTTTTTTAATGTACAAAAGCTTTCTTTTCACCTCAAAAGTAATACTTGTCCAAGAATTTCTTTTAGTTAGCCAATATAAGTCATAAAACCAGGCATTGTAAACCCAACTTTTATAGAGTAGACTTGGATAAGTTAAATATTAATGAAAAATAAGTATGTTAGATATTAAGAAAAATTCAACTTAGAATCTCATTCATTTCTCATTTATGAAAAAATCCTAGGAAAACTGCTTTAAATGCAGTGAAATCTAATGATGTGGCTGTAACCTAATGCTTATATTTTGCAGTATGTTTACAGTAGTTACATTATATGCAAATGCTTTGTGTACAAGTACTATTTTTGGTGAATATGATTATACTAGTCTTAAAGGTCTTGCATAATTGCTTTTGAAATAAGTGTTTTGTATTTCTTAAATAGACATTAATATTAAAATTTTGTTTTTCTTTCAGATTTAACTTGTATGATTTCCAGCTGAATTAAAAACATTTCTGTTTTCCTACAGAAAAGTGTTACATTGTTAACAAGTTTTCATTATCAAAGAAAAAAAAATGGAGTCCATCCACTAAATTTGTCAGTGAATTTTTATTGTATGCAAAATAATATGCATGCCATTGAGATAATAATATGATTTGTATGTAAAAGTAATGACAGAATTCTTTTTTGTGTAACCTATTTGGACCTTCCTGGTGATGTTCTATCTTACTAAATCTTCAAATGAACTCTTGCCTCATCTGTAAATGTTTCGTGTTGACAATCATGCATCATGTGCATCATGTGATATTGAATTGCTCGTTATAAATGCCATTATAATGGAAAAGAAGTATGTATAAATCAATTTCTCAGATGGTATAGTGATTAGTGATGCTGATTGCTGTAATGATGAGCCTGGTTTCCTTGCAGAAGGTGTGAATATTTGTAAATGTATTGTGTCTGTGCAGCATGGAGGCACAGACACAATACATGGGGAGCTGAAAATCCTCTTGAGTGCTTTGGTAGTAAGGGAACACTCTTGATCCCATCACTTAGCCCTTTGTTACTCAATGTTCCACTGTATGGAATACCCAACTTGATTCACTTCTGAAACCATTAAATTTAATTATAAATGGGTAAAAATACCTTTATTATATACCTTGAACTTTCCATTTTAAATACTACACTGGTGTGCAAAAATTAAGGACGAAGTCGAAAAATTAGCATATCAGCTGAACGAAGAGGCAGAGCGAACAGAAAGACCAATCAGGAGATTAAGTAAGGTGATGTACGGTAGCACATGTGCAGATATGCAGGTAGACGTAATGGGTAAGTGTCTGAGTAGTATAAAGCATGTTGTCGGTGTAAGATCAGTATTTCTGGCAAAGAGATTGCACGCCGTATAGCAGTTAAAATCACACCGAGTTGCTGCCTCAGCAAGAAATGGCGAATAATCAATCTGTTAGACGACATCTGGATGCTTTTACCCAAGGTCGACTCATCGGGAAGTTGGAGGAAGGCCGCAGTGTGACAAGTGTTGCTGCAGAGTCGTCCACGAGGAACCACACCCGCAGATGACCAGTATATTGCCTTACAGGCCAGAAGAAACAGGCGGCAGACAGTGGGAGAAATCGCTAGACAGGCGACTGGACGACCGATATCGCGTTTTACCGTGGCCATAAGACTGCATGTTGGTGGTCTGTTTGCACAACGCCCTGTACGGTGTGTACCTCTAACGCCTGCCCCATCGGAGAAAGCGTTCTCTGTGGTGTCTGGAACACCGGAATTGGAGAGACAATGAATGGGGACGAGTACTCTTTACAGATGAGAGCAGATTCAGTCTGAGTAGCGATTCTCATCGCATACTCATCTAGAGAGAGCGGGGAAGCCGCAATCATCCCTCGAACATCATTGAAAGAGACAGGTATGGAGGTGGCGGTGTTCTCGTTTGGGGAGGCATCATGCTTGGTAGTCGTACAGATCTTCACATCTTGGACGCAGGTTCAGTCAACGGGACCCGTTATTGTAACGAGATTCTTCTTCCATATGTGCGTCTTTTTAGAGGCGCTATGGGTCCACAGTTCCTTTTCATGGACGACAATGCACCTTGTCATCGCACAGTAGCTGCCGAGCAGCTCTTAGAAAGTGAGGATATTGAACGTATGGATTGGCCGGCACGATCTCCGGATCTCAATCCCATCGAGCATATATGGGATTTTCTAGGCAGACGCTTGGCAGCTCGTACCTTACCACCAGTAACGATCCGGAGCTTCGATTGGTGCTGCAAGACGAATGGGCAGCAATGCCTCAACAACTCATTGACACCCTCATTCTCAGCATGGGCAGACGCTGTGAAACCTGCGTAGCCAGTCAGGGGAGATCATATCCCCTATTAAAGACCGGATGTTTCTTGCTGGACACCCATCACAGGGATGTTTCGGCCTTCAGTCGCATTGCGCTCCATGCTACTTTTTCAATCAAGCTTCTTTTTATCCCTCTGATTTCTCTTTTAGTAAGTGTTGCTTACATTACTCATTTCCTTACGTATTGGGGATCTTATGGTATTAAATGTGTTCATTTGGAAAGCTCTTGTACAAAGTTATATTGAAAAAACCGTCTCGTCCTTAATTTTTGCACACCAGTGTAGATGGTAGCACCACACAAGAAGACCAGAATTTCATCTAGAATCCACTTATTTTCAAGTAATTTTCTCTGTTTTTTTTTGGGGGGGGATATGAAAAAATTTGCTTAAAAAAAAGAATTTCTGTTTAATTTTGCAGGCTCTACTCTAAATTATTTGTTCTATATTAAAAAAAAAAAAAAAAAAAAAAAAAAACCGATCTTGTGCTATTTATCTGTTGTTTCTGTGATTTTCATTGTTTTGGGAGGAATGAGCTCAAACTAAGGAGTATTGCAGGGAAGGTATGGTTTGTGATGTGAAATCCCTAATGTGAGCCTCTTGAATTTTTTGCGAGAAGGTTGCAGAAATTTTATCTGTAGCTCGAGTCATTTTTACTTACAGGTGCGCGAATTTTTTTTCATTCGCTTTTTAGTTTCATTGCTGTTTATTTTCAATAATTGTGTAGATTTTTTTTTTTTTTTTTTTTTTTTTTTTTTTTTTTTTTTTTTGTGTGTGTGTGTGTGTGTGTGTGTGTGTGTATATATATATAATGTAATATTAAAAGCACAAGGAAAAACCGGAGCAGTGTCAATGCATGCTTAGATCCAGATTGAAGAAGAATTTTGATTGCGCAGTGTGCTAATAATGTTAACTTGGTAATAGCTAAAGAACTTGGCAGTTGAGGCAGATTTAATTCTATTTTTATTTGCAATTGATTATTTGTGGCCACAATCACTTGGCACTCCAGTTGGAGATTCTCTTTCTACAGAAGATTTACATTTTTGATATTGTTGAAATAGAAAGCAAGCCTGTATCTTAGTGCAGTAGAGAGCAAAAGCTGAAGTGCATAGTTATGGAAGATGGAAGCACACGAAGAGAAAAGATTTGTTTTGCAATTTGGTGATTGGTCAAGAGGCATCTGCATTAAGGGTTACGTAAGATCGTATGATTAATTTGAATGACGCAGTTTAGACTGAAGCGCTATTTTTAGGGGAGATAGATGAAGTTCCCAAATGAAATAGAAAATAAAAAAATTTAGAAGTTTGCTTTCACACATTTTTTATCTTATATATTATAAGTTATATATATATTTAATAATTTTTCTGTACTGTTAATTGTTTGGGTCTCATCCCAAATAACACACACTATAATAAATTTGCTGGTTCTGGCTTTATTAATTCTCATAATTAAATTACAAGCACTCATTATTAACTCATAGCTGTGACCAGCCCTTGCATACCGTCAATGGAAATTCTCAAACTCGTCTGATCAAAACATTACAGATGCGCATGCGCGGATTACATTACAGGTGCGCAGGTGCGAACATGCTGCCCCACTTTGCAATATGTAGCATTCAACTATTGTAATTAAGATATAGTATAAAGAAATTTAAACAAGTATTATAAACAATTTTGAATAAGTAATATTACATGAAATCATTATTATAATTAGACATTTACCATATACATCAGCATGTAACTCAAAACAATGCAATATAACATTTCAGTTACATAATGACATTTTATGTGAAGCACATTCAATACTACACAATAACGATAAAGACAATACTCATTTTTGTATTGGTAAGACACATAATTTGGTAATTGGTCGTTTGAAAGTTCCAGTTTGAGTTTTTACATTGCACATGCAAACCTTTCCATCTTTACCATAAAATACTTCTATTCTACAACCAACCGCCCAATTACAACAAGGTAAATTATCTTTAATTAAGACCATGTCTCCAACTTGTATATTTTTTTTAGAACTTTGCCATTTAGATTGGAGTTCCATTTTTTCCAGATAATTTGAACTAATCTTGTGATCTGTTGCCACAATTTTAACCTGTTAATGTTAACTTCCATGATACCTGGCTCAGGAATCGAATTAATTGCCCAGGTGTTAGAACTTCTAAATCATCAATGGTTAAACACATTAATTTATAAGATATAAAAGAGCTCTGCCAACCTCAAAGCTCTGGAATCACTGCTTTATGCCATTCCATAAAAACTAGGAATTTTCATGTTGTGAATGATTTCATAAAATGTCTTACGCAAACTGAAGACTGTTCGCAAAGATAAAGACCTTCACATGGGCATCCGAATAGCTTGACAATGGTTTCTTTCTTTGTGACATAGACTGGTTTTTATAAGGGTGCTGCTCATCTTTGTGTTTTTTATGCCAGGGCGATCTGTTGTCATAGCAAACTTTGGGTAACTATATAAAGAAATACTTTTATAAAAATTGGCCAAGGCGCTTAGAACAGCCCCTTCCATCCGGGATTTAAAAAAGTGAGTAAATGCATAAATTTGCACACAATACTGCAGTTTTTTAAAGATGGAACTAATATATGGAAATTCTGGTATTAGATAGAGGCCTATTGTTTCTTGCCTGGCACCTGGAATCTTTTCCCATGCAACTAGCTTTAAGATGTCTGAAGGCATGTTGCATTTTCAGAAGTCAGAAGAACATCTGTTAACGTGGAGATTTGTTTCTTTTTTTTAAGTGAGAAAGGTTGCTCACACTCAAATGTATAACTGAAAATGAGAATCACGTAGATTGAAATTTGCAGCTTTCTGGGAACCACGCAGGCAGACATTTGTAAACTTCGGGGATATTCACTTCACTGAGTTCTTGCTTGTGAGTTATACCGTAGATGCCTCAGTATGAAATGAAATGCCAATTTTTATTAATACATAATACATTGTCTTTTTGTTATTTTTCTGTGGGTTAACCAAGGACTGCAGAGAAATGAGTCAAGAACCCTATGCGTCCTGCGCGTTTGGCGTGCCTGCACGACATTAATCCCAGCCGACTTTCACGACACACTATCATCAGAGGTTCTAGATTCTGAAGTGAAATTAGAACTGTAAACATTATTTTTGGAACACTAATTTTTACTTCCTTCTATGAAGTAAAGTATTGTAATCGTGAAAAATTCTGAGTAGTATATTTTAACAAAAATATCCATTTTGACCGCTATCGAATGCAATTGAGCTATGTTTTTGCTTGTGTACATAAGGATAGAATAAAGAACTTTCTTTCCCCAAATGAATTATTATTAAGTCATTTAAAATGGATTTAGAAGAGTTTTTTTTTCTGTGGCATCTGTATAAGATACATACGTATGTATATATCTCGCATAACTCAAAAACGAGTAGCCTTAGAGCGTTGAAAGTTTTTATATAGGGCTGCTATAATATGTAATTGTGCACCTACCTTTTTGGTTA